TATATATATATATATATCTGCACAGGTTTATCTGGTAGTCTTGTCTAGCCTTGTCACTGCTTCCCCGGGGTTAGGCTAGGCACTTACCTGCACATGGGGTCGGTTGTGCTGATGCTACACTTTGTGCATCTTTTTGCACAGATCCAGGTGTTGGAGCAGCATTTGAGTAGCAGTAGGATTCTGGGAGCGAGCCTTCAGTCCGGAGATTTCCGAGGTAGCTTGCTGGCGTCCGCAGGCCCGGAGTCCCTTTCTATTTTACTCAGTTTGTTATCATTGTACCGAAACAGACAGTCTTATGTATCATTCAAACCTTGTATTTAGTATTCTGTAGAAGTTCGTGAGTATTGTGACACCAGTCTTGGGTAGAGGATTAGTTAAATTTCCGCATTTCTTTCAGTTAACTATATTTGAGACTTTCGTTTTACTATTAAATGTTTCATTATTTCTAATATTGTCGTGTTTCGTTAAAGGAGGTAATTGATAATTGGCTTGCCTAGCTCCTATTAGTAGGCGCCATCACGACTCCCGAGGGTGGGAAATCCGGATCGTGACATTATATTTCAGTCAATAGATAGTCTAAATTAATATAAATTTCGACATATCTTTTTGTTTTTCTGCGAAAGTCAATCCAAACAGTAAATCACAAAAAAAATAAAGGAAATAATATCTTGAACCAAATTACCGATATTTTATAGTAGTACTCCCTCTATTCACTTTTATTTGTCTACTGTACTAAATATATTTTTACGTTTACTTGTCCACATACTTTATTTATTTTTTCTTAAAAGGAGTGTAATGTTTAAAATGTACAACAAAAAATGAACAGAGTGAGTAATTTTTCAGAAGTATTTAAATGTCTTATTAATAGACTCATACTATGAAATACTCAAATTAAATTTCATTATTGAAGAATTAGTTTACCCCAAAAATACGTAGCTAAAAGCTTTTGGGATGGAATAGTCGGGCTAGTGAATTTTGGAAGAAAAAAAAAAGAATTTATTTAATAAGGAAAATAAAAGAACGACCGTTGACTTGGTCAATTTGGCAAAGATTTGTCAATGAAAAGCAATGTCGGAATTAACTCGGAACTGTCTAAATGAAACATTTAGTCATGTAGGTTCTTCCAAGTGAAGTGAAATTGAGCTAGTTACCACTTTGAATGTTTTTCAGTTTACTAAAATACCATAAAAAATGCTCTCGCCTCAGTTACATGGCCATATGCAATTAAGTAATTTTCTCCTACTGCTGTTTGCACTCTTGATTATTTCGTTGTATTGGTAAAAATTAAGTTCATATATATTGAATTTAATGAAAGATGACGTGTCATGACACGTAGACTGGTCAAAGGATGGCGGTCGGCAAAGAATAGTTAAAGAGGCACGAGCAGAGATTCAAGAAAATCGGTACCCGCACCTCTTTATGTTTAAAAGTCAAGATAAGAGAATGAACCTGACAGCAAAAGTAGGAACGGATACAGTATTTAATAGGCATTAATACTGAGAACGTTAGAGAATCTGTATTGAGTTACAATGATTATCATTGTAACGTAGCATTAAATGCTTTAAATTGACTATAGTGGTCTTATTATGACAAAGGCAAAACGTATCACCTAGAAATAGCTATAAAAGGGGCAACCTGATCACTTGTAAGGACACGAAATACTACTGAAATATACTAATTTACTTTGCTTTCCATTTGGCTTTTATTTACATACATTATTCATATTTCTATTTGATTATCGAGTTCTTCAAAAAATAAGCTTTGGCCAAAATCCCATTTTTTGGTTAAACAAATTGGTTCCGTTACCGGGAATCTGATAATCGTTTTGCTTTCTTAAGTCAATTCTCTCATCAAACAATCTACTATGTCGAAAATCAACGACAATAGTCAACAAGGTCTTCAACAACAAGAAAATAATGCAGGTGACATGTCTCCACCTCCTTCACCACATGATTCACAACGTCAATCACGAGAAGGAACTCCAGATGGCTCTGAGACAAACAATGGAGTTGCAAATCAAAACGGAGTCGAGGCGACTCAAAATGATGGAGTTGTAAACGAACAAGCACTTGATGATGCTTTAAAAAATTTGATTGCTCAACAAGTCAGTAATGCTCTCCGTGCTTTTACTAGCCAGTTGCCAGCTGCGCCACCAACACCAACTCCGAGTCAGAATACATTGGAAAACCCACGTTCTGGGCTCGTGCATTCAGGCACCGGTGGAACTCCAAGCGAGTCTCGTGATGGTGAACCAGGTAACATAGTTAATTCTGATTTACAAAATTTAGTTCTAACCTTGCAGAAGCAACTCAAGGAACAAAGCGATCGCATAGAGCAAATACCTGGAGTACCACCTATAATCAAAGGAATAGACATGGACAAATATTCACAACAACCTTGGAAGCCAAGTGCCGCTCCCCTCCCAATTCCAAAGAAATTTAAAATGCCCGATATTCCAAAATACGATGGAACAACTGATCCACGAGACCACGTGACTGCATTCACAACTGGCGTGAAAGGCAACGACTTAACCAAGCAAGAAATCGAGTCAGTATTGGTCAAGAAATTTGGTGAAACACTCACCAAGGGAGCATTGACATGGTATTCTCTCTTACCCGAAAATTCTATAAATTCTTTTGCTGAGCTTGCAGATTCATTCGTCAAAGCGCATTCGGGAGATCAAAAAGTCGTGAAAAGAATGGAAGATATTTTCAAAATTAAGTAAGGAGACTCAGAGTTGCTTAGAGAGTTCGTGGATAGATTCCAGCGTGAAAGAATGACGCTACCACGAGTACCGGACAACTGGGCAGCTATAGCCTTTACCAGAAATTTGAATGAGAAAAGCTCAGAAGCCACGAGGCGACTCAAGGAAAGTCTTCATGAATTCCCAGCAACGACTTGGAATGATGTTTACAACAGATACAGCACGAAGCTAAGGATAGAAGAAGATATTAACCCACGGTCTCAAAAAGAGGAAAAGGTAAGTTCGAGACGTGCGGAAACTGAAAAAAGGTCCGGTAAAAATAGATATGAACCATATATGGGCCCAGCGGGAAAAGATTCACGATCAAAGCAAGACAATTCAAGGTATGATCATAGATCGAGGAATAGTGAGTCAGGTTCATCCTCAAGGTTTGGGAACAATCGAAACATGCGAGAGACGCGAGACGATGATAGAAACTTGAAGGCAAGATTCGGCGGTTACAATTTTAATATCAGCACTTCCGAGCTCGTAGCTGTTTTAAGAAGCATGGGTGATAAGGTGCAGTGGACAAAGGAAATGAGATCAAATCCAAATAGACGTAATCCTGATCACTGGTGTGAGTTTCACAATGATCATGGTCATAAAACAGCAGATTGTAGACTGTTACAAGGTGAGGTGGACCATTTATTAAAGCAAGGGTATCTTACCGAACTATTTAGCGAAAAGGGTATGCAAGCATACATGAAGAACAGGCAGGAGCCGCCCAAACCCCCTTCTCCGAAAAGGACCGTTAATGTTATAAGTGGAGGCGAAGAAATTAACGGCGTGACATATACAGCAGCCAAGAAAATTTCTAAAGTTACAGTTACACACGGGAAGCGGGTTCGACATGTTCTGGAGGAAGAAAGTATTACATTTGATGATGCAGACGCGGACGGCATGATAACACCTCACAACGATGCACTGGTAATTTCTTTACTTGTACATGATACTAATGTAAAACGAGTTTTGATTGATCCAGGTAGTTCCGTGAACATTATTTTGCTAAGAGTACTAAATGAGATGCAAGTAGAAGATAGACTGGTACCTAAGGCACATACCCTGTCCGGCTTCGATAATTCGAGCGTAGTGACAAAAGAAGAAGTAACACTTACAACATTCGCAGAAGGAGTGGTAAAAGAAATGAAGTTTCAGGTGGTAGAGATGGAAATGGCTTACAATTAATTCTCGGAAGACCATGGATACAAGAGATGGATGCTGTTCCATCTACCTTACATCAAGTTATGAAATTCCCATCACCATGAGGAATACGTCAAATTCGTGGGGATCAACAAACTTCCAGAAGCATCAATTCTGTAGCAGATTCAAGTACGAACAAAGAAGAAAAGTAGCAATTACAGAGTCCAGTTGAGGATATCACGGCACAAACCTCAACTGAACAAGGGCGGATAGATAAGGACTCAAGGCCCGATTCCATTCAAGAGGCAGAAGAAAATGAAAATATCAAAACAACAATTGAAGAACTAGAAGCTGTAGAGTTATTTGCAAAATGGCCTGAAAGGAAACTTTATATTGGGGACAACTTAAGCAACAACTTGAAAGGTAAGTTGATTGAATTTTTAAAAACTAACATAGATTGTTTTGCCTGGTCCCATTCTGATATGACAGGAATACCTCCGGAAGTAATGACTCACAAGTTAAATGAAGACCCATCGTATCCACCTGTCAAACAGAAAAAGAGAAAGCAGGGGACTTTCAAAAACCAGGTGATCCAAGATGAGGTTCAAAAATTATTAAAAATTGGGTCTATCCACGAGGTAAAGTATCCTAATTGGTTAGCCAACACTGTAGTAGTACCGAAAAAGAATGGCAAATGACGAGTTTGTGTAGATTACACCGACCTTAATAAAGCATGTCGTAAAGATTCTTTTCCATTACCACATATAGACCAACTGATTGATGCTACTGCAGGACATGAATTGTTAAGCTTTTTAGATGCATATTCAGGGTACAACCAAATCAAAATGGATTCCCTAGATGAAGAAAAAACTTCATTTATAGCAGACCGGGGGACTTATTGTTATAAAGTAATGCCTTTTGGCCTCAAAAATGCTGGAGCCACGTATCAAAGGCTGGTGACCAAGATGTTTCAGGAACACCTAGGAAAAACTATGGAAGTCTACATAGATGATATGCTTGTTAAATCTCAAAAGGCGAGGAATCATATACAACATTTGTCTGATACATTTCAGATTTTACGAAAGTTCAATATGAAGCTAAATCCCGAGAAATGTGCATTTGGCGTCGTCTCGTCAGGTAAGTTTTTGGGTTTTCTTGTTTCTAACCGAGGTATTGAAGTAAATCCTGCGCAGATTAAGGCTATTGAAGAAATACCTGACATGCTCACAAATAAGAAAGAGGTGCAGAGATTAACGGGAAGAATTGCAGCCTTGGGGAGATTCATTTCTAGGTCATCAGAAAAATGTTTTAAATTCTTTTCAGCTCTCAAAAAGCAAGATCAGTTTGAATGGTCTGAGGAATGTCAACAAGCACTCAAGAATTTGAAGACATACCTGTCAAATCCACCGTTGCTATCAAAACAAAAAGACGGAGAAAGGTTACTTGTCTATCTAGCCGTTTTAGAAGTAGCGGTAAGTGCTGTTCTGGTTCGTGAGGATCAAGGTAAACAGTCTCCAATTTATTATGTTAGCAAATCACTATTATATGCAGAGACGCGGTATCCTCAATTAGAAAAACTTGCACTTGCATTAATCATAGCATCTAGAAAATTGAGGCCTTATTTTTCAATGTCACCCTATCTCTGTAGTAGACCTGCTTATCCCTTGCGTAATATATTACACAAAAAGGAACTATCAGGTAGGTTAGCCAAATGGGCCATAGAGTTGAGTGAATATGACATCACATATCAACCCAAAACTGCAATAAAATCACAGGTGTTAGCTAATTTTTTAGCTGATTTTAGTCAAGGGATGCAACTAGAAGCGGAAAAAGAATTACAAGTGTTCAATGGATCTAATTTAGGAACCTGGACCTTATTTACTGACGGTTCATCAAATGTGAAAGGTGCAGGTTTAGGAATCGTTTTGGTACCACCTACGGGTGAAATCATTCGACAAGCCATAAAATATCATCCTGTAACTAACAATGAGGCAGAGTATGAAGCCGTGATTACAGGTTTAGAACTGGCACGTGAAGTTGGCATAGAACAAATTATAATCAAAAGCGATTCGCAACTCATAGTCAACCAGATGCTGGGGACTTATACAGCCAGGGAAGTAAGGATGCAACAGTACCTGGAAAAGCCATCACCCCCACCCACGTTTTTACCCATACCCCTCATAGTTTAATTGTAATCTTTATAATCCATTCAACTGGTACTGTATTCCAAGTTAACCTGTCGCCATTCCACCATATGGACTTAAGATCACTTCTGCTCCTTCAGCTCCATTTTCAAAGAACAATCTCCATAATTCTTCGAGACCTCCCTCGGGGATTGGCTTCTGAACATAGTCTGATCCTTCTTCTCTTTTTAACCCTAATTCAGGGAAGCTTTCTTGCATGATTTGAAGTAATCGATCAACTCCATCGAGGAATATGGAATTGAATGAAGCTACGACTGTTTGTTTGTTATCTCCTTCACTTGAGTTCACTCTACTAATCAAGATCCTAATGANCATACCAGCCACGGTCCTTATCATCTCTGGATTGACCAGAACCCTTTTACTTCTTGCTACTAAAGTAAAAACTCCTTGGCGAAAGATTCTGGGAGAGTAAAGGTGAATTAAATGGGATAAAGTAAAAGGCATACCGGCCATGTTGGTCAAGTGTCTCAAACAAGCAACAACCCTCCACACAATAGGGCCAATTTGCCATAAACAGACGTCGAAAAAACGACAGAATTCGAGGATAACAGGGTCAATAGCAGGTTTGAAACCCAACGTGAAAGGATATGTATAAACAAAAGAAAACCCAATTAAATAAGAGGTGATTCTTTGTTTCGCATTGGGAATTATAATAGGGAAATCATGGCTCCAATGGCAATCTCTACGAACTAAAGAAATCAAACCTTCAGTAATCTGAGTTGGATAGATGTCAGCACGATCTAATGAAGGCAGTTGGTTTCTGAGAGATTCCCTATCATTATAAAAAGATAGTTCAACGGGAACAATCTCATCTACAGTGGGTTCACGAAGGGGCTCAGTGGATTCTTTACTTCTAGACGAAGACCTTTGAGAAAGGGAGCCTCTAGTTCTAGAAGGTGGAGTAGAACTGGACGAAGGAAGAGAAGAACCTCGTGCGGATGAAGACCCTAGATTACGAAGTCTACCTCCTCTCCTACTCCTAACAGGAGCAAGACGAAGATTATCAACAATGGGGACTCTCCTAGGGTTAGGTTTTGACGAAGACATAATAGTACTAGGAAGAAGAAAACAAGAATTCAATATTTTGAGAACTTTATGTGAGAAAGACAAAAGTGAAAACTATATTTATACTCAAAAGCAACCGTCCAAGGAAAAGCTGTAATAATGAAAACATCATGATGAGAACTGACGTTTCGTAATTGGTGCAGCCGTAAAAAAGCCTTGAAAACGCTGGAAAGTCGCAGAACCAATCAGAAGATGCCACGTGTAGTGGGCATTAATAGAAGTGACAAATGAAGCGTCAGTTCCAGAGAAGAACTAATGGCGGCAAATATTCCCGCTTTAATAAAATCCACTTCCCAAATATTCTATTGATGAATACATGGCAAGTGGGGGGACTATCTGTATTGGTAAAAATTAAGTTCATATATATTGAATTTAATGAAAGATGACGTGTCATGACACGTAGACTGGTCAAAGGATGACGGTCGGCAAAGAATAGTTAAAGAGGCACAAGATACAACTGGCACGAGCAGAGATTCAAGAGACTCGGTACACGCACCTCTTTATGTTCAAAAGTGAAGATAAGAGAATGAACCTAACAGCAAAAGTAGAAACGGATACAGTATTTAATAGGCATTAATTACAATGATTATCATTGTAACGTAGCATTAAATGCCTTAAATTGACTATAATGATCTTATTATGACAAAGGCAAAACGTATCACCTAGAAATAGCTATAAAAGGGGCAACCTGATCACTTGTAAGGACACGAAATACTACTGAAATATACTAATTTACTTTGCTTTCCATTTGGCTTTTATTTACATACATTATTCATATTTCTATTTGATTATCGAGTTCTTCAAAAAATAAGCTTTAGCCAAAATCCCATTTTTTGGTTAAACATTCGTGTCACGTAAAATGTGATGCAAGGAACACCATCAATGGAAGCAGTAAGTTAGTTGACAATGGAGAAACTCTTATATCTACTGGAAAAAAGTTCGAAATGGGATTCTATTCTGATGACGGAGATGAGTTTAATAGATATGTTGGAATATGGTATTACAATTTGAGTCCCAGAACAGTTGTATGGGTTGCGAATTTGAAGAAACCAGTTCCAGTTTCAAGAACAAGAATGAGGATATTTCTGTTGCTGTTGCCGAAGATGGTAACCTCAAAGTCTTGAATTCATATAATGCAGACACTTATTTCTCCACAGAACTAGAAATTAGTGCTTCAAAAAGGAGAGAAGAGCTCTTGGATTCAGGGAACTTGGTTTTAATTGATGAATCAGGAGCTAAACTACGGCAAAGTTTTCTGCATCCAACTGATACTTTCCTACCTGGAATGAAAATGGATATGGGTTTGAAGTTGACTGACTACAGAAGTGGGAAATATACATTCCAAATAGATCAAGCAAAATATCATACTTAAAGAAGGTGGCATTTACTGGAAGGGTCTGCAAATTTAAGTACTTCTGGACCTTTCAGTTTCAGTGAAATGCCTGCGTATATCGCCTATATGTTATCCAACTTCACAGATAATAACATTGTCGATTCCAGTTATACCAACAGCATTTTCAAAGAGTCTTTTTTCGAAAGTACTAGACTCTTAATGAACTCTTCTGGAGAAATACAATTGGGATAAGGAGAGTAGTCAATGGTCTTTGGTGTGGTTAGCGCCAAAAGATACATGTGATGTGTATAAAATATGTGGGAAATTTGGCATTTGTAAAAGCAACCATGTGTCATTAGTATGCAAATGTTTGCCTGGATTTGAGCATGATCCTCCAGAAAACTTAAGAGCAGGACAACTTTCGGGTGGTTGTTCGAGGATGT